TTTATAACTGGAAGCTATATTAGATTTTCAAGAAAAATGAGAAATTTTATACACATAAAGTCCTGCCAAGCATCCCATCTTATTCTCCTTTCCTAGGGGGAAAAAAAAAAGCTTTAAGAGGTTCCTTGGTAGAAACTTTGGTTTGAGTGTCAAAGGAGTGAGATGGAAGCTGCTACATCTCATCTCCCTGCCATTCCCTGGCTTGGGTCCTTATTACAAAAGGGAATATGAAGTGGCTTTGAGTCACTTACGTGACTCTTGATCTTGGGGTCGTGAGTTAGAGCCCTGTGTTGGGGGTAGAGTTTACTTAAAACAAAAAAACAAAGTGGCTCTGATAGCCATTTTGGTTTATTAAGTACGTAGTAACCGTTATTAAAGAAGCTCCTGCCTGGTCTGATTGCTTATTATGAGACTAGAGCACCTACAGTTACTTTAATAGCATGCATAAAAGGTCTTGGGTAAAGTTAGAGATAGGATCAAAAGCCAGTGGAAAGTAGACTCTTTCAGGACCTGCCAGTAGGTTGGACTCTCTCTTCTTTCTGTTGGTGCTTTGGCCACAGAACCTCCTTTCACTTCCTTTTATCTCAGCTAATTTGTCCGTGCTGCTACTGTTCTTCACCTTATTAACTCTACCTGTCATGCACATTTCTCCCAGGATATCTTACCTGATTACCCCACCCCACTACAGGTCAGGTCTCCTTGTCAATGGACTTAGAGCCCCAGTATGGTTCCTTCGTATTGGTGTGATAGTATATGTTTGTCATCTTCTCTGTTGGATTATAAGATTCACAACAGCAGGGACTTTTTTTCCTCACAAGATTATACCCACATCAAGAGCACAAGGTCCAGCACATGGTAGGTACCTAGTAAATGTTTATTAAATGAATAAGTATTAGGGCCAGTGTCATTCACTTTATGGAAAAATCCTTGTTTTGGTATCAGTGTAAGTAAGGAATATGTGGATAAGACATAATTGAAAACCTAATGAACAGTGGCTTAAATACGTAGGTTTTGTTTCCTGTAACTTATGAACATTTTCAAACATAAAAACAAAATACCTGAATTTTACAGTGAACACCTGTATGCCAGCCACCTAAATTGACATTACTTTACTTTATGATTATACTTTATCACTTAACCTACCCACGTAGCTATCCTTTTTTTTTTATGCCTTTCAATGTAAAGTTGCAGGCATTAGCACATTTCACCCTTAATACTTTAGCATACATATCATTACCTAGAATTCAATATTTGTTTAAAGTTCTTGTTCTCATAAATTTAAATTTGATAAAATGCCCAAATCTTAATTGTACTATTCAGTATGTTTTGACAAATGCAAACACTTGTGTAATACAAATCCCTGTTGAAGATACAGACTATTACTATCAGCCCAGAAAGTTCTCTCATACCCCTTTTCATTTTATCCCCACTCTTACAAGACCCCAAGAGGCAAAACAACTGCTCTGATTTTTTTTCTACCATGGAATAGTTTTGCCTGTTCTAGAATTACACATAAATAGAATTGTACAGGATGTGCTCTTTTGTGTAAGGCTTCGTTTACTAAGCATAATGTTTTTGAAATTAACCCATTTTGTGTGTATCAATGTTTCATTCCTTTGAAAAGCTGATTAGTATTCCGTGAAACAAATATAACAATTTATCTATTTACCTGTTTGATGGACATTTGTGGGTTTTTTTTTTCACAGTTTGAGCCTATTTTGAATAAAGCTGTTATGAATATTCTTGCACAAGTCTTTTTGTGGACGTATCTTTTGTATCTTTTGGATAAATATCTAAGATTGGAAATACTGGGTCATAGGCATATGTATAAATCTAGTTTTCCTAGACCTTTTCCCAAAGTGATTACACTATTTTATACCCCCCATTCTCACTAACATTTGATGTCACTCTTTTTATCTATTCTGGTGGGTGTGGAGCTGTATCTTATTTTGAGCTACTTTCCCCCTTTCACATTATAAGGAAAATAGGGAGGCAGGCTATGACTGGAGTAGGCACTTAACAGTGCTATCAGGGACCCACGCACTTTCTTCATCCTTAGTGGACTTTGATTATAGTTCTATGCATGGCTTCTGAGGTAGTCAGCCCATTGAGTGTGGGCTGGGTTTTGTGACTAGCTTAGTGACTAGAATACAGCAGAAGCAATGAGATGCCATTTCTGAGATTAAGTTATAAAAACTGTGGCTTCTGTCATGAGCATTCTCTCATACTTTTTGGGATTACTCATTCTAGGGAAAGCCAAATCGCTATATTGTGATGCAGCTCACAATTGCCATGTTGTGAAGAGATGATGTGATAGGGGACAGTCTGCCAACAATCAAAAGAGTGAGCATAGAAATAGATCTCCTTTTGGTTGAGCATTCAGATGGGATTGCAGAACCACACCTGGATTCCTAACCCAGAGAAACTGAGGTAATGTTTGTTGTTCTGAGCCACCAAGTTTTGGGGTACTTTGTTATGTAACAATAAGTAACTAATATGACACCTCATTGTCTCATCCTAAGATGGCTTTTTGTACCTTCAGGGTCTCTTGTTCATGCCCCAGACAGTAAGAAAAAGTATGAAGGGCAAAGGACAAAGAGTTTTTTTTAACATGAATCTGTTCATTTAAAAAAAATTTTTAACCTTTATTTATTTTTGCAAGAAAAAGACAGAGCAGAAGCAGGAGAGGGGCAGAGAGAGGGAGACAGAATCAGAAGCAGGCTCCAAGCTCCGAGCCATCAGCACAGAGCCTGACGCGGGGCTGGAACCCACAAGTGGTGAGATCATGACCTGAGCCAAAGTTGGACGCTCAGCCGACCGAGCCACCCAGGCGCCCCGAATCTGTTCATTTTTATCAGGAACTCAGAACCTTTCCAGCAAATCCCACTCAGCAGACTTTGGTTTATATCTTTTTGGCCAGATAACTCCACTCAGCAGACTGGTTTATATCTTATTGACCAGATAACTCCACATGACCACTTTAGCTAGAAGGCATCTAGAGAGAAGCAGGGACCTAGATGGAGTTTGTGTCAGCCAACTGTCAGTGTCTGCCACATTAACCATATTGGAAACCCCATAGAGTTAAAGACATTAAAAGACCTCTTCATTAACACCTACCCCAGCCAAGTGAGCTTTTGAGGAAATTTCCAGAAAAAGGAAATGAAACTTTCAAAAAACTCCTAAGGGCTTGGATTGCAGGGCCTAGGTTTCTGATTCGTGTCCCACCCCATTCTTGGAAAACTGCAGCACTATCTTCCATGGCTCCTTCTAGTCCTCCAGTCCTTTGCAATAGATACTTCAGAGCTATCCTGGAAATACCCCTGATAACTCTCTGCCACAGCAAAATGGCTTCTCAAGTTTTGCTAACATTATGGCCTTCATATTTTTTAGTCCCTCTCCTCTCCTTTAGTGACCTTTCTTTTCTCCTGTCTCAGGTCTGATAACTTAAATTTTGCTGGACGAAACATTCTCAAATTCGAATCGAATCATGTTACTCCAACTTAAAACCCTTATTGCCCCATTGTCCTCAGGATGAATCCTGAACTTCTTCCCATGGTAGCGAAGACCCTGCATAACTGGATATAGCACACCTCCCCAGCACTTTGCCCTGCACTTGGTGTTCCCACACCAAATTGCTTACTTTCTCTGCCCCATCTGCCTGAGACCTCCACTTGACATCCTTAGGGATTCAGCTGTGGAGATGACTTTTCTAGAAAGCTTTCTAGGACTTCTAACTCCCTCAACAGTGGGGCAGGTGACCTCTTAAGTAGCTCTTAAGTAGTTGTTATAAATTCTTTTCCCTTTATGGGGGAAAAGGCCATACTAGGTTGATCTAGTAGAAAATTCAAATAATATGAATTGAATGGATATATGAATGATAGGGAATGAAAAATAAGTCTTCCTATTCCTGCTGTCCATTTCCTTTTCTCCAGTTTCTCAATACATATTCAAGTATAAATACATTTTCATATTATTTTTATAAGGTGTTCTGTACCTTGTTTTTCCAATTAACACTTGTTTTAAAATTTTTTCTTAATATTTATTTTTGAGAAAGCACGAGCAGGAGAGGGGCAGAGAGATGGAGACAAAGAATTCGAAGCAGACTTCAGGCCCTGAGCTGTCAGCACAGAGCCCTACGCAGGGCTTGAACTCATGAACCTTGAGATCATGACCTAAGCCGAAGTTGGATGCTTAAGGTGCTCCAACACTGTATTTTGGAGACCATTATATCACTTCATACCGATCTATCTCATTCTTTAAAGAACTGCAGCGATATTCTGCTGCGTGCATGCCTTAATTTGCCCAAGCAATTTGTTGTCGTACACCGGGACTGTTTCTGATTTTGCTCTGACAAGCAGAGACGCAAAGTGCAATATCTTTGCACAAATGGATTTGAGTACAGGTGGAAAATATCTTTTCCACTATTAGGGATGAATTGCTAGATTATGAGGCTAGGTCAATGGCTATGTGGCTTTAAAATTTTGGTATGAAGTTCTAAATAGTCAACTGATTTACTCTTCCTATCAACCGCCCAGTTCTTCTGTATTCTAATATTAGGCCATGTACCACAGTAGTCTGCATATTTTTTGAGGGCAGGCACTTCCTAGTATTCACATTTGTCTGGCTGGCAGAATTAGCTTTCCATATTTGAGTTAACGTTGAATTTTGTATCTCTTAGCGCCGATTCTAGGCTTGACATACAGCAGACTCAGCAGGTGTCTATTACAATTCCTCAATAATTAGAGAAGCTAACATTCACTGAAGTGTATTAAATGCCGCGACTTGTGCTAAGCGCGCTTTCTCTTCCACCACTTTCACTCACGATCTCCTTCCTCCCGGGGGGAGGGGGTGTCCAGCACCACGACCCGCCTTATCTGTGCATTCGTTGGCCGATCCCGACGCCCGTTACTGCTGAGCCACGCCCAAGCCACGCCCCCACGCATTCCGCAGAAGGCGTGGTCATTGTGGCGCTGGACCTTCGAGACCGTCTCGTCTCGTGAGAATCTGGACACGCTCGAAGACCGGTGCCGTGAGTGTGGGAGCGCGTCTCGGGGGCCCGCGGAGTCGACGCGAGAGGCCTGCGGCCGCTGCTGGTGCACGCCGCCGCCCCCCCTCCCCCGGCACGCAGGCTCCGTGCGAATTCGCGCACGCGCGCGCGCACCCGCCCAACCCTTGGTCTGGCCAGCAGGGACCCGCCTGGCGGAGGCAGGGCCGATGAGATACTAGGGGAGGAGCCCGAGCTGCTGCCGCTGCCGCCGCCGCCGCCGCCGCCGTCGCCGCCGCTGCTGCTGCCACTGCCTCCGCACCCGGAGAGGAGCATGTCTGCAACTCGAGCCAAGAAAGTGAAGATGGCCACCAAATCGTGCCCCGAGTGCGACCAACAGGTGGGCGCAGAGGACCGGGCGAGTGCGCGGGCGGGCGGCCGTTGGCTGTGGAGAGGCCGCCTCGCCGGGTTCGGGAGGCCGAGTGGACGGGCCGGCCCTTGGGCTCGGGGGCTACAGTGGAACCCCGGAACGGGCCGGGCTGAGCCGAGGGGGTGCCAGGGAGGCGCTCAGGGTCGCAGTCCGGCCGGTGCCCACCTGGCAGTGTCAGCCAGGCGACTGTGTGCGCGGGAGGGAGGCGTGGGTTTGTCTGGAGCCTGTCCGGACCCTTCCCGAGTCGCCTGGCCGGCCCCGGTTGACAGCGGCGGGAGTGTGGGGGCAGCGGCCCAAGTGGACGAGCACTGCCCCTTCAGCTCCCTTTCTGCCCGACGAGAATGCCCGATGTGCCCAGCTCCAGGCTCCTGGGTTCTGGCTCCGAAAGCGGCTGCTGCCACGCAGGGTTGCTTTGTTCACATAAGATGTATACAGTGAACCCCCAAAACTGTTCTGCCGCGAGCTAGGCGGAGGCTTAATGTGACAAAAGGGGCCGCAATGCAATGGTTTCAAGTTTAGGCGAATTTGGACAATTTTTTTCTTATAAATATGTATTCCTTATAGTTTTAAGGGAAATAAAAGTGAATCTTTACATTGTTTTTTGTGGAACATTATTGAATAACGCCCCCATTGAAGCCCTTGCCTTCTGGGCGCTCCTCACTTCCCCCACCCGCCCTCGTATCCGCTGTTAAAAATTTGGCGTTTCTGCTTCCAGATCTTTTAAAAAATTTGTATGTAGTTTTAAGAATTTTAAATGACTTCTTACTGCACAGAATTAATAGTGACAGCTGTAATTTTTAAAATCGCATTTTACTGTTTGTTAGTTTTATGCATGCCTCATTGTTTACTAGAATAATGGACGTTCCTCTAAGTCTTACAATCTATTGAGTTAAAACTCTCAATAAAACCATCTGAAGGCCCTTATTACATGCCAATGTGCAGATCTGGGTGTGATTTTTTTCTTTTCTACTGAGGCAGTTTTTTCAAAATGACTACCTTTCTCCCCTCCTTTTTTAAAAAAAAAATTTTTTTTTTCTTTAAAACAGGAGTAATATGGCTCCAGTAAATAGCTGGAGAGCTTTTTAAAAAAATAACATGCTGATGTTAGTGCATTCTTTAAGAGCAATCTCGTACGTTGATCTAATCTAGTAAAAGAAAACATTACATGTTTCAGTATATTTTATGAGCAGTGATAGAAATTCAAGGAAGGAAGATTGTGTAAGGAGAATTAGTTTATTGATCTTTTGAGTTTATTGGGTATGCAGTATAAAAACAATTTAGCCATGTTTTTTGAAGTAAAGTTAAACTTCTATTCTTACCATTAAAATTTGTTAAATCTGACAAAATTGGATTTTGTGATTTAAGTCTCTTTGCTAGATAATATCAATATTTAAATCATTTCCATTTGTTCTAATGAACTGCAGTATAAGGTTTACATGGTATGCTTTATGCATTCCAGTTTTTGTAGGGCACAAGTTATTGCAAGTCTTGACCTTGTTTTACTTGGCATAATGGAATCTTTTGGGAAAAATAACCTGTTTTTAATATCCTGGTTAAAGAAAAAGGAAAGGATAATAAACTTGTTAGGAGTCCCCTTAATTGTTCAGCAAAATGTGATGAGCATTTTATTTGTAAACATACATTAATTTTGTTACACACACACAAAACTCCCCCCCCCCCCCAAGCTGCCATTACAAAATACCATAGATAAGGTGGCTCAAACAGTAGTAATTTATTTTTTCACAGTTCTAGAGTTTGGGAGTCCCAGATCCTCGAAGAGAGTGAGCTTTCTGGTTCTGTTCTTTTTTTATAAGGGCACTAATGCCATCATGAGGGCCCCACTCTCGGGACTTTAAACCTGATTATCTAATCTCCAAATACCTTCAGATTAGGGGTTAGCGTTTCAATTTACAAATTTTGGGAGGGACATGATTCAGTCCATGGCAAGCTACTATATAATTTAAAATGTTGGTTTTGTTTTTTATTCTGAATATTTAAGAGAATATAGTATACATGAGGACTAATTAAAATTTTTGGTGATTCTTGGGGCTCCTGGATGGCTCAGTCAGTTAAGGGTGCCACTCTTGATTTTGGCTCAGGTCATGATTTCATGGTTTGTGAGTTCCATTCGAGCCTTGGGCTCTGCACTGACAGTGAGGCACCTGCTTGAGATTCTTTTTCTGCCCTTCCCTTGCACCTGTGCTCTCTCAAAAATAAATAAACATTAAAAAAAACCTTTTGGTGATTCTTAAAAATGATTTATCTTTTACTAAAAGCAACTGGATTGAAGGAAATAAAATTAATTTTAAATTTCTAATTATTGGAGAATACAATCTTCTAATAGTTACAAATGAGAAAAAAGTTATAATCTAGAAAGCCATTTTTTAAAAAAGTATTTATTTATTTTGAGAGAGAGTTCATGTATGCGCGTGTGGGAGGGTCAGAGAGCGAGAAGGAGAGAGAAAATCCCAAGCAGGCTCTGTGCTGTCAGCGCAGAGCCTGTATGTTCTGTTTCCGTGTGTGTAAAAGTTTAAAAACAGGTACAGAGATCAAGCAAGAAAGACATAGATTTTCAGTTGCTTTGTAACATCCCCTTTATATCCTGTATTGAAAATACAGTTCTGAAACATCTAAACCACAATACTTTTCATTTTTCGAGAGGTTTCACATCAAGTAGCTCAAATTATTGAACCATCTTGTATATAGGAATATTCAAGATTCTTATTAGTTGTCTGGTATCTTTTGTATATGTGTCTGTTTTTGCCTTAAAATTTTTTAATAAAGCAGTTTTTTTCCATTTATAGGAAATTTTATGTGTTATGTTGCAAACGTGTCCACTGTAGGTCACTTTGGTTCTGTTAGTAAGGAAATGTAAATGAGTTCTCTGTAGTGTGGTTATTTTGAACTTTTGAAAATCAATGAAACAATATAGAACCAGGGTCTTGTTTTTGCACTTGTTTTTTTACCCAATGCGGGGCTTGAACTTGTTAACTGCGAGATCATGACCTGAGCCAAAGTCAGACACTTAACTGACTGAGCCACCCAGGGCCCCTATTTTTACCTTTTTTACTTGTAAACAATCTGAATGCACTTTACAAGGGATAAATTGATACCCAATAAGTCATCAGTAAACAAACTTTAGGTTTTTTATTATTTTTTTTATTTTAAAATCCTGAGAGTATAGCATTAGAACTTTTGTTAGTATCATCTTTGTCATTACAACTGAAATTTGAAGGAAATTTAGGATTTTTTTGTTTAAAATCCAAATTGTACTATAAAAGAGCAATATTACCGAAGTCCACCCTATTTAATATTCTTTCTCTAGGATCTGGGTTTTGGTGGTGGTTGTGTTTTTATCAGAGTTGGGATTAGGGGAAGGACAACTTTCCATTTAAAAGGGACTTTAGGGTAACTTAGCTCAGGCGCATGAATGTTTCTAGTCATAAAACATTTACTAAGGGATGAAAATCCACCGATCGATTGGTATTTGTACATTCTTTATCCCAAAGGCAAATGTACATGTCTCACTTAAGTGCAGCCCTCTGTTAATTCTGGATATAGGTTGATATATTATTCTTGTGTATAAGACAGAGACCTAAATTTATATTTGTTCGGTTTTAGTGACTGGAAGAATATGCTTGCTGAGTAGCAAAAGACCTTTTGAACAAGAACATCATGTTTCTGTGTTTTTTGGATAGCACTAATTTAAAATAGTTTACAGTACAGTGAATTACCTTAATAGTGTAAGTGTAAAGGAAATGAGTCAGTGCCTTTGAGTTTGATTTCTGTGAAGATGTGAAATTTTAAAATGACAAACATCTATTTTGGGTACATTTTACAGTAGTAGAAAATGTAACATTACATTTTCTGTCCTGGTTTGAAAGAATCTCATCATATTCTTGATAAAGCATGCTGTTTGAGCTATCTGGAGTTCAATTATTTTTATAGGATTCATTGTGATTTTTCTGAAATTGCAAACTAGAGATCCTTTGTTTAGTATTTTCATGTAAAAAAATTCTATCAAAATATTAATTTAGTTTAATCAGATCAAGTATTTATATTTTAGACCATGAAGCATTTTTTTATATATGTGGATAAAAAGCTTTATAATTGTAGCTAAGCTTTCACACAGGCAAAACAATGGGCAAATGGAATTTATCTTGAAAAGTAAATTACAATTTTCTGACCATAATTATTCTGAGTACTTTTTATTGAGATTACTTTCTGGTTTTTGGTGAACATGTCTTGATTTCAAGGATCATTAAGGCTAGTATTAGTGAAATTACTATGCAAAATCAAACTTTTAAAAATAATTTTTAATAATATTTGGCTTTTGAAAAATCATTATAGACTTGACATGGAGAAAGCCGCTTGTAAGTAATTTACACATTTGGAAACAGAAGGTTGGGGGCGCCTGGATGGCTCAGTCGGTAAATCATTTGACTTTGGCTCAGGTCATGATCTCAGGGCTCATGGGTTCAGGCCCCGTGTTGGGCTCTGTGCTGACAGAGCAGAGCCTGGAGCCTGCTTCGGATTCTGTGTCTCCCTCTCTCTCTGCCCCTCCCGCTCGGACTTGAGCGTGCTCTCTCTCTCTCTCTCTCTCTCAAATAAATAAAAATATTAAAAGAAAAAAGATCCTAGATCTTGACTTCTACATTCTCTTTTGTTTGTGCTATACTTTTGCCCTTCAAAGTGATTGTTGTGAACTACTCTTTTGTCAGTGGCAATTGGCATCTTACCCTCTCATTTTAGAACCCGAGTCATTTTCAGTACTTTCCCTTTAAAAAAATGGTTTTAACAGAAGTATGTTTGGCAGTGTTACATTAGTTTCAGGTGTACATTATAATATTTTGATAGTATAGGTTAAGATGTGTTCACCATAAATGTAGCTACCGTCTGTCACCCTAGGAGTCTATTCCAGTACCATTGACTGTATTCCTTGTGCTGTGCCTTTCAACCCAGTGACTTTACTTTGTTCTATAATTGGAAGCCTAAACATCCCATTCTCCTTTACCCATTTTGCCCATACCCCTACCTATGCCCCACCCCAAAGGGGCCATCAATTTGTTCTCTGTATTTATGCGTCTGTTTCTGCTTTTGTTTGTTTGTTGATTTGTTTTTTGGATTCCACATATAAGTGAAATCATATGATATTTGTGTTTCTCTGACTTATTTCACTTAGCATAATATTTTTTTTTAATGTTTGTTTATTTTTGAGAGAGAGAGAGGAACAGAGAGAGAAGAGAGAAAGAATCCCAACCAGGCTCTGTGCTGTCAGTGCAGAGCCTGACATGGGGCTCAAACCCATGAACTGTGAGATCATGACCTGAGCCAAAATCAAGAGTTGGACACTTTCTCGACTGAGCCACGCAAGCGACCCAGCATAATCTTTTCAAGGTCCATCTATGTTGTCACAACTGGCAAAATCTCATTCTTTTTATGTCTGAGTAATACTACTGTGTGTATGTGTGTGTGTATCACATCTTCTTCATCCATTTATCTGTGGATGGACACTTGGGTTGGATATCTTGGCTATTGTAAATAATGCTGTAATAAACATGCCTATGTAATAAAGATGCCTATGTCTTATCAAATTAGCGTATTCCAGTCGGGCCCTCATTCTTATGCTGGGATTTCTTTAATTACTTTCTAACCATGTTCTCTTTTCTAACTAGTTCTAATAAACTGCTTTCAAACATGTATTTTATTTTATTATTTATTATTTATTTTTTATTTTTTTTTCAATATATGAAGTTTATTGTCAAATTGGTTTCCATACAACACCCAGTGCTCATCTCAAAAGGTGTCCTCCTCAATACCCATCACCCACCCTCCCCTCCCTCCCACCCCCCATCAACCCTCAGTTCTCAGTTTTTAAGAGTCTCTTATGCTTTGGCTCTCTTCCACTCTAACCTCTTTTTTTTTTTTCCTTCCCCTCCCCCATGGGTTTCTGTTAAGTTTCTCAGGATCCACATAAGAGTGAAACCATATGGTATCTGTTTTTCTCTGTATGGCTTATTTCACTTAGCATAACACTGTGCAGTTCCATCCATGTTGCTACAAAGGGCCATATTTCATTCTTTCCCATTGCCACGTAGTACTCCATTGTGTATATAAACCACAATTTCTTTATTCATTCATCAGTTGATGGACATTTAGGCTCTTTCCATATTTTGGCTATTGTTGAGAGTGCTGCTATAAACATTGGGGTACAAGTGCCCCTATGCATCAGTACTCCTGTATCCCTTGGGTAAATTCCTAGCAGTGCTATTGCTGGGTCATAGGGTAGGTCTATTTTTAATTTTCTGAGGAACCTCCACACTGTTTTCCAGAGTGGCTGCACCAGTTTGCATTCCCACCAACAGTGCAAGAGGGTTCCCGTTTCTCCACATCCTCTCCAGCATCTATAGTCTCCTGATTTGTTCATTTTGGCCATTCTGACTGGCGTGAGGTGATATCTGAGTGTGGTTTTGATTTGTATTTCCCTGCTGAGGAGCAACGTTGAGCATCTTTTCATGTGCCTGTTGGCCATCCGGATGTCTTCTTTTGAGAAGTGTCTATTCATGTTTTTTCTGCCCATTTCTTCACTGGGTTATTTGTTTTTTGGGTGTGGAGTTTGGTGAGCTCTTTAGAGATTTTGGATACTAGCCCTTTGTCCGATATGTCATTTGCAAATATCTTTTCCCATTCCATTGGTTGCCTTTCAGTTTTGTTGGTTGTTTCCTTTGCTGTGCAGAAGCTTTTTATCTTCATAAGGTCCCAGTAATTCATTTTTGCTTTTAATTCCCTTGCCTTTGGGGATGTGTCAAGTAAGAGATTGCTACGGCTGAGGTCAGAGAGGTCTTTCCTGCTTTCTCCTCTAGGGTTTTGATGGTTTCCAGTCTCACATTCAGGTCCTTTATCCATTTTGAGTTTATTTTTGTGAATGGTGTGAGAAAGTGGTCTAGTTTCAGTCTTCTGCATGTTGCTGTCCAGTTCTCCCAGCACCATTTGTTAAAGAGACTGTCTTTTTTCCATTGGATGTTCTTTCCTGCTTTGTCAAAGATGAGTTGGCCATACGTTTGTGGGTCTAGTTCTGGGGTTTCTATTCTATTCCATTGGTCTATGTGTCTGTTTTTGTGCCAATACCACGCTGTCTTGATGATGACAGCTTTGTAGTAGAGGCTAAAGTCTGGGATTGTGATGCCTCCTGCTTTGGTCTTCTTCTTCAAAATTCCTTTGGCTATTCGGGGCCTTTTGTGGTTCCATATGAATTTTAGGATTGCTTGTTCTAGCTTCGAGAGGAATGCTGGTGCAATTTTGATTGGGATTGCATTGAATGTGTAGATGGCTTTGGGTAGTATTGACATTTTGACAACATTTATTCTTCCAATCCATGAGCACGGAATGTTTTTCCATTTCTTTATATCTTCTTCAATTACCTTCATAAGCTTTCTATAGTTTTCAGCATACAGATCTTTTACATCTTTGGTTAGATTTATTCCTAGGTATTTTATGCTTCTTGGTGCAATTGTGAATGGAATCAGTTTCTTTATTTGTCTTTGTGTTGCTTCATTATTAGTGTATAAGAATGCAACTGATTTCTGTACATTGATTTTGTATCCTGCAACTTTGCTGAATTCATGTATCAGTTCTAGCAGACTTCTGGTGGAGTCTGTCGGATTTTCCATGTATTATATCATGTCATCTGCAAAAAGTGAAAACTTAACTTCATCTTTGCCAATTTTGATGCCTTTAATTTCCTTTTGTTGTCTGATTGCTGATGCTAGCACTTCCAACACTATGTGAAACAACAGCGGTGAGAGTGGGCATCCCTGTCGTGTTCCTGATCTCCGGGAAAAAGCTCTCAGTTTTCCACCATTGAGGATGATGTTAGCTGTGGGCTTTTCATAAATGGCTTTTATGATGTTTAAGTATGTTCCTTCTATCCCGACTTTCTCGAGGGTTTTTATTAAGAAAGGTTGCTGAATTTTGTCAAATGGCTTTTCTGCATCGATTGACAGGATCATATGGTTCTTATATTTTCTTTTATCAATGTGATGTATCACGTTGATTGATTTGCAAATGTTGAATCAGCCCTGCATCCCAGGAATGAATCTCACTTGATCATGGTGAATAATTCTTTTTATATGCTGTTGAATTCGATTTGCTAGTATCTTATTGAGAATTTTTGCATCCATATTCATCAGGGATATTGGCTCAAACATTTATTTTAGAACATACTACCTCTTATCCCACATTTTTTTCCCTTGCTCTGATTCTGTTATGGTGTTCTATGGGTCACTCTCATCAGCACATGTTTATCATGCATTTTCTATATTTATGGTATTGTAAAGCATTAGGAGAATGTAACGATGTATAGGACATAATACCAGTGTCAATTTGTTGTAAGGGGGTGGGGTTTAAATAAATCTATGATCCCTACTTCAATAATTTATCATTCAGTTCAGGAGACTACATAAACACTGAGAAGTTCAATAGAAGAATAGTAATAATACACTTTTTCTTATTTTTGTACAGGTTCCTGTTGCATGTAAATCGTGTCCCTGTGGTTACATATTTATTAGCAGAAAACTTTTAAATGCAAAACACCCAGAAAAATCACCACCTTCTACAGGTAATTATGAAAGTTTACCACATATTTAGCTTTTTGATGTAGAAATGTAAAACTAATTTTTGTGAATTTAGTATTTACATCTCTGTTGAAGTTAAAAATTAAAACCTATTAAAGTATGCCTTTGGTTCTTATTAGCTGTTGGAAATCAGTTTATGACATTAGTTTGCCCTTCATTCCATTTAAATGTTAACTCCCTTATAATGCTGATGAATCTGTTTATTATTGGAGGATATGTCTCAACATAGAAGAGTTTTAAACAAGGGAGTGATCTGATCTGATTTTTACAAATTAAATAGTTTAATTAAGGTATCATTGATATTCAGTAAATAGCACATATTTAAAGTGTGCAGTCTGATAGGTTGTATCATATGATTACACCTGTCATCAAAATCAAGGTAATGAACAATGTCCATCTTTCCAAAAGTTTTCTAGTTCCCCTTTGTTACTCTCTTCTTGCTGCCTTCACCCCCACAAAACCACTGATGTGTTTTCTGTCACTATTCTTAGAACTTTATATAAATAGAATCATACAGTATGTACTCTTTTTTTTGCCTGGCTTTCACTGAGCATAATTTAAGAATCAGCCATATTGTTGTGTTGATCAATAAGAATCAATTGCTTTTTACTGCTCACTAGTAATTTTTGTATGGCTATGTGACAATATGTTGTTTATTCACTGGTTGATGGACATTTGGTTTTACCCCCTCAGTGCTGGTAAAATTTATAACAACTGTCAAGTTTTTTTTTTTTTTTTTAACTAGTAACTGGAAAAATATAACTTGATTTTGATGTGAATATAATTTTAGACATATTGGTTATTTTTTATAATTCTCTGATTTAGAATATCTAAAAAATAATTTTGTTGGAGTTTTACTTTCCCATGAATGTAGACAAATTGGATTTATTCAGTGAGTATATTTCTTAAAAGATGAAATTTTGTTATTTATCCTTGCGTGATATTAGAAGAGTGATGATCTCCAAATAAAAGTAAATTGATTACAAATAAATTTTGAGTGACTGCTATATGCTAGGCATTGTTCTAAGCCTTGGGCGTAAAGTAATGAATGAAATCTGTCAAGGGAGGTTCACTGCTGTCATGGAGCTTACATTCTTGTGGGCATGAGATAGACAATGAACAAATAAAAAGGGCAGTTACTGGCTTGTGATAAATGCCTTGTAGGAAATTAAAATAGATTGCTGTCCTAGTATGTGACTAGAAGGCTACTTTTGATTGAGTGACTGGAGAAGGCCTCTCTGAGAAGGGACATTTAAACTGAGGCTGAATTGGAACAAGGGGCTAGCCCTGATAAGATCAAGAAGAACATTCTTTTTTAAATTTTTTTTTTTTTTTCAACGTTTATTTATTTTTGGGACAGAGAGAGACAGAGCATGAACGGGGGAGGGGCAGAGAGAGAGGGAGACACAGAATCGGAAACAGGCTCCAGGCTCTGAGCCATCAGCCCAGAGCCCGACGCGGGGCTCGAACTCACGGACCGTGAGATCGTGACCTGGCTGAAGTCGGACGCTTAACCGACTGCGCCACCTAGGCGCCCCAAGAAGAACATTCTTGACAGATGAAATAGCAAATGCAAAAATTTTAGGGCTGAAAAAATTTTGGTGTATTTTAGGAATGAAAAGGCCAATGTGGTTGCAGTGTAGACCGTAAGAGCAGGGGAATGTGGGAGATGAGGCCGGAGGGATAGGCAGGGGCCAGATTGCATACAGTTTTGTAAACCAGAGTAAGAAGTTTTGGATTTTGTTCTTTTTTTTAAAAAAATTTTTTTTTTTCAACGTTTATTTATTTTTGGGACAGAGAGAGACAGAGCATGAACGGGGGAGGGGCAGAGAGAGAGGGAAACACAGAATCGGAAACAGGCTCCAGGCTCTGAGCCATCAGCCCAGAGCCTGACGCGGGGCTCGAACTCACGGACCGCGAGATCGTGACCTGGCTGAAGTCGGACGCTTAACCGACTGCGCCACCCAGGCGCCCCTGGATTTTGTTCTTAAAATGTGAGGAGAAACTATTCCTCGGATGTGGGATGGAGTGAGGTAAAGGTAGCATGATCTGATTTGCCTTTCAGAAATACCATTTTGGCTGTCGTCTAGAGAAAGGTGTACAAGACAGAAGTGGGCTATTGCAGTATGCTAATAGTGAGAATACTAAGAGAGTGGTTAGGTTATAGTAGCAGATGATTTAAGAATTATTTACATTTATGTCTGTGAGAGGTGTGTTTATTCTAGGAGTCAAGAAAATTATTTAATTCCATTTCTGCCTCTGTTTAAGTTTGTTCCCATTCATTATGAGAATAAAGGCTTTGCTGGATTAGTTATATAAGAGTCATCCAGAGAGCTTGTTAAAAATGGGTTCTCCTGGGTCATATTCTCTGAAGTTTGGTTCAGGTATGGAAATCCTGGAATGATTCATTCAGTAGATTTCTGGGTGGTGTGTCAACTCAGTTCTGGGTCTCCAAAATGAGTAAGACATAGTTTGTGTCCCTTAGCAGGACAAATGTGTTAATTTTTTTTATTCAACAAATATTTTTGAGCTCCTTCTGTATACCAATGGCTCAGGTGAGAAATGAGATAAAGAAGAAACCCAGCAAGGATAGAGAGAAGGGACAGATGCTGCAATTAAGGAATTGGAATCACTTGAACCAGAAGGAAGACTTTTACAGTGACTCCCAATGACTTGAATTACTGGTTAGAAAAGGAATATAAAAAGGAAGACAAGTTTTGAGGGAAAGATGAAGAATTTAGTTTTGGATGTGGTTGTGAAATATCCTTGTGGGTTATTTTTTTCCCAGTTGGACAGAGTTTGAAGCTTAGGGAATAGCCTCAACTGGAGATAAATCTCTTTTATTATGCTTATTTACTAATTTTGAGAGAGAGTGCACGCATGAGTGCATGTGCACTCCTGAGCAGGAGGGGTAGAGGGAGAGAGCGGGAATCCCAAGCAGGCTCCAAGCCCATCCTGAGCCCTATGCAGGGCTCCATCTCACAATGTGAGATCCTGACCTGAGCTGAAATCAAGAGTTGGATGCTTAATGGACTGAGCTACTCAGGTGCCCCTGGAGATAAATCTTGTGGTTGTTTTTTTTTTTTTAATGTTTGTTTATTTTTGACAGAGGCAGAGCATGAGCACAGGAGGGGCAGAGAGAGTGGAAGACAGAGAATCTGAAGTAGGCTCCAGGCCTGCTGACAGCATAGCTCCCAACTTGGGGCTGGAACTCACCCACTGTGAGATCAAGACCTGAGGGGAAGTCGTTGGACTGAGCCATCCTGGCGACCCTGGAGATAAATCTTTTGAGCCATTAGTGAATGGTAGTTGTCATCATGGAAATGGAGGAGATTGTGCCATAGGGTCTATAGGGTAGGAAAAGGAAGGAGTTCAGAGACTGAACTCTGGCAAACTCCAGTCATAAATGGTGGAGGTTGTTAGGGAGTTCAGGTCAACTGAGAAGATGCGCATGTACATGTCAGCTGTAGGGGAACAAACAAGAGAGAGTGGTGGTACTTAAGTCATGGTGATAAATAAGAGGCAGTTCATTATTATTTTACATTTGGAATGTCCTGAGGTTCTGTTGTTTAATAAAAGTGGCCTTGTGACCTTGAAGTAAAGATGAGACAATAAAGCCTAGAAATTCCCTGGAGGAGGAAGAGGTACCAGCAAAAGAAACAAAAAATAGTTTAAAAAAATGGAGGAACATCAGAAGTAGACTGTGCCGTAGAAACCAAAGGAGGAAAAGGTTTTAAGGAGAAAGGTTAAGAATATTCAAAGCCTAGAAAACAGTTGGTATAGTACAAACATGGGAGTTGGAAACCTTGGCTTCAGATTCAGATTCCAATTTTGTCACTCTCTAACAAGTTAATTAACCTCTGAGTGGCTGCTACTTACTTGCATGTAAGGTAGATTTATAGTATCAACCATAGAGGGTTGAAGTGCAGATGAAGTGCATATAAAAATGGCTAATGTAAACAAAGTTTAGTATGTTATAGGTACTCAGTAAATGTTCATTTTTACAATTAAATTTCTTAAAAGTAAGATTTACCTTGGTTAGTTTGTAGTATGTGGGAGATTGAGAAGAGTATAATTTTTAAAATGTCTACAGTCACCAGGTACTTGATGAACACTGGTCAATGGGATCCAAAACATTTCAGTTTGAATAAGAATTTGTAAAAGAAAAAATGAAAATGGACAACCTAATATATATCTGGAAGGATAATGAATTTCACTAATAATTAGGGAAATGCAGTTGAAATAAAATACCATTCTTTTTACCCATATTCTGACAAAAATGTAAAGGATTTGCAAGTACTTTTATGAATATGGTGGAATGAGTACTTTCATACTAGTGGTGAGGTTATAAAACACCACAGCCTTTTTGCAGAACAGTCTGACAGTAGTTGTTAAAAGTTTTAAATGCACATAACCTAGAATCTAGACTTCTTTATCAACAGGTATGTAACCTGGAGATAGTTGTTTATAATACACAATGAAATACTTACTAGGATTTTCAGGCAACAGTGTTTATAATAGGAAAAGTGAAGCCAGATATTATCAGTGGGGAGTGATTAAGGAGGGTACGTCTTTTAGGGAACAATAGTATATGCTAATTAGAGAGAATGGTGCAAATTGTTATGTATTGACATGGAAAAATCTCTAAAAGTTAATTTAAGAAAAAAAGTACAGGGCGTGCCTGAGTGGCTCCGTAAGTTAAACATCCAGCTCACGACTTTGGCTCAGGTCATCATCTCACAGTTGGTGGGTTTGAGCCCTGTGTCAGGCACTGCTTGGGATTTCCTTTCTCTCTCTCCCTTTCACTCTCCCTCCCTTTCTCCCTCCCTTTCTGCCCCTCCCCCACTTGTGCTGTGTCTCTCTCAAAATAAATAAACTTTAATACTTAAAAAAAAAGTACAAAACGATACTTGCATGAACTTTTTTTTTTACAGAAGTTTTTTTTCTTGTAATGAGAACTTTAAATATTTACTCTTAGTAACTT